TATATATATATATATAATTTAATCACTGATGAACAAACTTCTGAAAACATAAACAAAAAATCTGAAAACTACAAAAAAAAAAATCATAGAATCAAGTTGAAATATTATACAAAAATACTGTAAAAATGCAATGGATGGAAACCTGAAGACATGTAACCTAATTATATGCATATATGTGTACAAAATATTTATATTGTTTAAATGTTTCATTATATATGTATATTCATTATTTAAAATGTTTATAAATGTGTATAAAATATTTGCATATATATCTTTCTTTCTAAATCTAATAAACCAATGAAAACTCATTTACCACTGATATATTTAAGAAGTTATATGTCCCAAACCATCAAGAGTAATGCATTGCAGCTGTCTATGCATAAATGATGTGCTGATGATCAATGTTTCAAAACATAAAAAATGCTTTATAAATGACTAACTGTTAACTTGTACATCACAAATGCTTACTGTGTCCTTATTCTAATGTATTAACCAGAACCTCTCCCAGCTGAACTACATGACGCAGCTATGACTTCTCAAACTTTTCCCACATTATCTCTATAACATAAAAACCTCTTTGATACATCAGATAATACAGCACTTAAAAAGCTAAAAGCGCATCCTGGCATAACGCGCACGGCCTTATGCAACCCGTACCCACACACTAACACCTGCTGCTCCTACAAAAAGCAATATTGACTTCTGCATAACCAACATCATTACCTGAAAATGATCTTGAAAACATTTTACACCCACTTGCAGTATTCATGTACGACGCACATAATGTGTACCTCTCAAACCCTCACCTCAAAAGCCTCTCACCTCTCTGAGATGAATAACAATCATTTCATATTATCCAGGCACGGCTTGGATTCTTTTAAAATCTACCACCATTTTTAGTGGTCAGTGAAGGAAACCTAGTGAGTCCGGCTTCAGGCTCGCTCCGTGATGTGCATCGCATGCTAAAGCAATTCTTTCACGCGTTCCCCTCTTTTTCACATGCTCTACTAGGGGGCGAAGCCAACAACCTATCCTCCGTCACCGAAAACAGAAGAGAAAGGGGCACAAAGAGAGATATTGTTCTGACTAAGGGAAAGGATCCACTCTCAACGGAGTGCTAAGTTTTTTTTTTTTTAAAGAGGATGGAAATGAGGAACAAGTGCAGAGAGAGAGGCAGAACGGAAACAAAGTACCTCAATGCTCCTTCTGCTTGAAAACTATGGCTGCTATGAGGATGACTGTGACCTTAGCATTACTGGCAACTAAGACATCTGGAGTTATACTCAGCAAGTCAGCGTACTTACAGTCAAGCTAACTCTATTAGCAGACAGACTCTCATTACTGCAGATGGGGGCTCAGATACGGGCACTTTGGCAGTTCTCCTTAGAGTTCTGCCTTTTTATTTAGTTCCTTTATCTCTCCTGACTCCATTATCTGCAATGTCTTCTCCTCTTACCCTTCTTCTCTCTTTCTCTCTCTCTCTCACTTCTCTAGTCTCTTGTACTTGGCATTGAAAAAATGGCTTTTCGTCCCCTTGTAAAAAAAAAGCATTTGCCATAATTTATTTAAAATACATTTATTTCATATTAAGTATACTTCAGATCCGTTATTTATTGACATATCTTTTAAGACTTACTGATATAAAATTATAATCAAACTTTATTTGGAGTATTTTGTTATTGCACAACACACATTTCTTAATATTATGCCTAATATGTGTTTTAATGTCACTATTTATAAGGATTGTATGATCTCTGTATAATATCAGTTTTTAAATGCAAGATATTTTAAAGGGATAGTTCACCCAAAAATGAAAATTCTGTCTTTAATTACTCACCCTCATGTCGTTCCAAACCTGTAAGACCTTCGTTCAACGCAGATATGTTGTTTACGCTTTGATCTGAACGTAAACAACGTATCCTTGTACATACGTTGCATACGTATTTGATACTCTCCAAAATGGCACCAGGGTGACGCGGAGGAGACGCATTGTTGAATAAAGTCGTTATTTTTGCTTTCTTTGCGCACAAAAAGTATTCTCGTAGCTTCGTAAAATTACAATTGAACCACTGATGTCACATGGATTATTTTAACGATGTCCTTGCTACGTTTCTGGACCTTGATCGTGTAAGGATCCTTGCTGTCTATGGAGGGTCAGAGAGCTCTCGGAATTCATCAAAAATATCTTAATTTGTGTTCCGAAGATGAATGAAGGTCTTACAGGTTTGGAATGACATGAGGGTGAGTAATTATTGACTGAATTTTCATTTTTGGGTGAACTATCCCTTTAAAGTGTACCTGAAGTATACTTGCAATAGTTCCACTTCAGCACAATCAAATATACTTCAATATCTTAAGTTGTACCTCAGCATTACTTCTGCACAATCAAAGTGTGTTAAGCACAAAATTAGTTGTTCCAATTTAGCAAACTTTAAGTATACAATTGCAGGGTATTTTTATTAAGCACATACATATGTAAATGTATTTATAGTATACTTAAATGCACAAAATAAATGCATTTCAGTATTTTTTTCACTAGGGTCTTTATAACAATATATATATTTATTTATTCAAATAACTTTACAATACAGTTTTTCATGAGAAATTAAATGTAAACTTTGCACCACTTTGATTTAAACATTTAAAGCAGCATTTACACTGAAGTTTTCTATTGAAGTTTAATCTTTAATCTGTTTTATTACTATTTCTTTCTTTCTAACAACAACAACGATAAATGTTCTTTCTTTCTATAAAAATATATTAATATAACAACAGCAACAGTATGTTATGATTATTATAAAAGAAAGAAAGAAATTAAGAAGGTTAGAAAGATTAAACCTAAACAAAAAATTTAAATTTAATTTCTGCTCTAAATGTGTAAATCAAAATGGTGCAACGTTTACATTGAATAACAACAACATTAATAACAGTAATAAATAATGAAATAAACGAACAAATATTTCATTTGTTTGTTTATGATTACTTTCTTTCCTAATCATCACAAAGCCTATTTTTATACAGCGTACAAGTAGTATAGACTATTTTTATGGCGTCATTTTGTAGCAGACATGGTCACTTCAAATTAGTTGACCTTGACCATATTTAACTCCTCTTCTGTTCTTTTCTCTCAATTCTCCATTCTACATGCACCTCACTCTTTTCCTCTGTTCTCCTCCCTCCCTTTCTGCTTTCTCAATCACTTTCCTTTTTTCTAAGACTCAATAACTGTGTCACATAGGGAACATAAGAGACAGAGAGAGATAGCAAAAGGACAAACAAAATCCATTTTTTCCCTCTTAATCTTCACACAAACAGTCGCTGATCTCCAGGGCTGCAGGCTGAAATTTTTCTCACTTATCCTTCTCTTTTTTGTTTATGATCTCTCCATCACACAGGATTAGTCCACAACAAAGAAATCAAAACACAAGCCATGGTCTCCGAGTTAATTTTAAACTGTCACATTCAGTGCCGCTAAAACACAGCAGGTCAGTCCTGAGCATATGTTAATACATTCAACAACACTGGCATTGTAAGGGACCATCCATACAGGATGTGTTGTTGATATGCTAAAAAACAGCTAGACAGAGGCCCAATGGAATAAAAAAAAGAGCATGATGCATTTTACTCATTAAATATGTCAGTAACACTTTAGTTTAGGGACCAGTTCTCACTATTAATTAGTCGCTTATTTGCATGCATATTACAAGCATATTGGCTGTTTATTATTGCTTACAAAACCTTATTCTGCATGAACATATTTTAGATCCATTAATCCATCCCCATACATAAGCTTAAAGGGATAGTTCACCCAAAAATGACAATTCTGTCATTAATTACTCAACCTCATGTCGTTCCAAACCTGTAAGGTCTTCGTTCATCTTCGGAACACTGTCTATGCAGGGTCAGAAAGCTTTCGGATTGCATAAAAAATATGTTAATTTTTGTTACGAAGATGAACGAAGGCCTTACAGGTTTGGAACAACATGAGGATGAGTAATTAATGACCGAATTTACATTTTTGGGTGAACCATCCCTTTATCTACCTTACTAACTATTAATAAGCAAAAAAATTAGGAGGTTATTGAGGCATCATTTATTGAGGCATCATGATGAGGCATCAATCCATCATGAATTCATAGACAAACTATTAAAAATGTATCAAGACCTGTCACAGCGGTCACAGATGTCCATTTAGCACTTTTCATATGAAACAATTACAAACCAGCGAGACACGTCACAACAGTCAAAGACATCCTTATTGCATACAAAAACCATTTTAAAATGGTGAGTTTCGCAAACGAGTTGCAGGTTTGTAACCTGCAGTCTAACTTATTTTCATAGAAACATTTAAAACCCAGCAAGATGTTTTCAAATGGTCAAAGACATTCTAGTATGTTATCAAAGAAAAAAAATTACAAAGCGGACAGATGCAAAAATGCATCCTGTGTGAACGGCCCCTATAACATGCTCAGACATGCACATGCATGTAATATGTCTACTCTTCAAAAACATGCAAACAGAGCAGGAATATCATGCGCTGAAAGATGGAAAACGTGGAGAGAGATGAAGCACAAGATGAAAAGATGTCACACCTTCCACACCAAAAAACCAAATGACTCCTCAGCAGAAAAGAATGAGGTGTGGAAGCTGACCTGATGACACAGATGAAATGACAAAGGTGATGATGGTCGTGCTTATAAAGAGAGGAGAAGTCTCTCTCCTACCTGTAAAAACTGGCAGGTTCGTCCCTGCTGGCAGGTCTGTGCTTTGACTAGAGCTTTATCGATATTGACAGTGGCCTTCTGGTACACCTCTCGGGCCCTGCTCACCGTTAGTGTGCTTGACCAGGAGCTCTTCTTGACGAGCGGCCCAGCCTGGTCTACTGACATCGGGCCTCTGAAGGTCAGAGCGCCTCCTGTGGGGTTGGAGCAAGTGGAGCAACTTCCAACGTCATTGTTGCTTCGTGAGGTCTTCAGGGACGAGTGTCCCCCTCCTAGTGTGTTGTAGCTCTGTCCCAAGAAGTAGTGGGACTGGGATTTGTCCGGATGCCGGCCCATGGTCATGACTCCTGAGGGTTGATGCTGGTGGTAAAGGCAGATCTCCCTGTCTAGAGTGTCGTCGGAGCTCCAGTAACCCGACCCGGGTGTCCGTGCACGAGGTTTGGGCTCGGAGCGACTGCGTTCCTTGTTTTTCCCCCGCTTGTTGCTGGACGACTTGTGCAGGGTGCCTATAGTTGTGGTGGAAACATTCGGATGGGATGTAGCCGTAGCCATTGCATTGGCTGGGATGGCGGGGTCGTTTCCGTTGACGCTGCGTTGACTGGAACCTTCCAGGGAATGGGACTTGGTGAATAGTTTTTGGACAGAGTGTACGAGGTGGCGTATACGCCCAGGACTGTCACTGCGCTGGTGCTCCAGCGCTGCAGTCCGTTTGTATTGCAACGTGTGATACCCATCCTTTCTCACTGGTTGCTGCTGGTCAAACTTCTCCAGCAAGTATGATGGGATGGCAGCCGAGCTGCATGGGCCGCACCCACCCCCAGTTCCTCCGGCTATGCCCCCCGGTCCCACATAGGGCACTATGGCACATTCGTCCTTAAGCTCGTGATGTGAGCCGTGATGTCGGCGTGGAAATGTGCTGCTGGCCAGATCAGACTGGCACCCGTAGAAGCTGTGGTCGGTCGGGTGGGCCTGGTTAAGGACATAAGGCCGTCGGTCGTGGCGGAGGGTCAAAGACTCGTAGGATGGGTCGCAGTGTGTGAGTGTGTGGTGGTGGCTGCGGCTGGAGGACAAGCCTTTCATCGTCATCCTGATACACTCACCCTCTCACAGCCTCATCCACACACAACACTGAGTCTACTGCAGAAAGACAGATAGACAAAGAGACAAGAGGGCCAGAAAGCAATGTAGAGGACGAACAAATTAGGTGAAACAACGAAAAAAAGAGGAACACAATGAGAGAGAAACAAATAAAGAGAGGGAGATAAAGAAACAATATGCATTAAACATGGTCACATTTAGTTCATATTTTAAACCTCATAGTGTCCACTATAATGGACTGTCCTTTAAAAACATTTAAACATTCACTACTATGGGTCTGACAAGTACTAAAGAGGTACTAAACTTTTAAAATTGACTAGTTAGTTGGTTGCCTAAAGGAATAGTGGATTAATCTGTCTCAACTGGACATCTTGTATAAGTAGACTGGTGTTGGAGTCACCTGACCCCAAGCATTTACATAAGATGTGTCTTGCTTTCAAAAACAGCTAGACAGAGCGCACTGGACTGGAACAGAACAAAGGATTCTCATGACACAATTTGACATGCTGTCTTAATGCTACACTTGGTGCAACGCTCAAGAAACAACGTGAGATTTGACAGAATGGCCAAATATGTCTGTCTGAATGTGTATGGCTTTAGCAGCAGTGCTTTTAAGGGAATATATTTAAAGACCAAGCAGAGCAAACTGTTGGTATGCTAATTAGACATAAAAAAATACATTTAGAAAAAAATCGGAATAATTGATGACTAGTCACTCATAATTCTGCACTACTTTTCAAAAGTTTGGGGTCAGTAAAGTTTTTTATTATTATTATGAAATTATTATTATTATTATTAAAAATAGTTAAATAGTAAATAGTAATAGTAATAGTTAATAGTAAAAATTGTTGGTGCCGATAGCCTCAGTTGCTCTTCGGGTGTCCCAAGATCGAATTCCCACCCCAATCTCTCTCCCACTCACTTCCTGTCATATCTCTATTGCCCTGTCAAGCAAAAAAATCGCCAAAAATAATTATATTTTTATTCAGCAAGGATTCATTATATTTATCAAAAGTGACATTAAAGACAAAATCATCATATTAGAATGATTTCTGAAGAATCATGTAACACTGAAGACTGTAGTAATAGCTGCTAAAAAATTAGCTTTGACATCACAGGAATAAAATAGATTTTAAAATATTAAAATAGAAAACTTATTTTAAATTGTAATAATATTTCACAATATTAATGATTTTACTGTATTTATTAATAAATAAAGACTTGGTGAGCATATAGAGGCTTCTTTTAAAAAAAAGCTTTTGAATATACTTGACTAGGGCTGGGTATCGAGTTCGATACTTTTTAGGCACCGACTGAATTGCCAATAGAAAACTTATTTTAAATTGTAATAATATTTCACAATATTAATGATTTTACTGTATTTATTAATAAATAAAGACTTGGTGAGCATATAGAGGCTTCTTTTTAAAAAAAGCTTTTGAACATACTTGGGATTACTCACCGCTGACTGGACGAGACATCTGTCAATCAACGTATACAGGGAAGAACCAGCCGAAGAACAGCAGAGTCTTGGTAGAAAGTTCGGAGATGGTTTTAAAGTAGTTCAGTTTAAATGTATTGTATTAATTGCCCTTACTCTAGAATAAAGAATACGGGGTGTCTATTTACATTTAGTTAAAAGTGACTGTGAAACATCAGCTCCAGTGACGCAGATGGATAAGTGCGTGCCCTTGACTTTTTGACGCGATCTGCATTTGCGTTTGTAATTTGTTATTTTGTTTTCAGAATTGTTATCTGCTTTGCACTTCTCTGCCACCGTAGAAAGCGCACGGAGCAGTCTGCTCTCTTTAGCTCTCGTGGTACTGTAATACACCCATCGGTCTGCACAGTCGGTCCGCGTCAAGTCGAACACACCCAGAGAGTGGCGCACACGTGAGGCTGTAGTGTGAATGCGTCCCAGCCCCCTTAGATGTAAGGCTACATTTACACTGGTGTGTTTATGTTCAAAAATGAAAACTATCCTCATCGTACTGGCGTTTCCATTGCGTTTCAAGTCGGTTTTCCACTATCTCCGACAAACGACAAGCGACAGACCGGTCATTAATTTCCAAAGGAGAGTAGCGCGGGAGCTGTGTGGAGTTCCGATCATATGCAGATGTCCATTCATACTAACATTACACGACCGAAAGCGCGTGTTATGTGACCATTCATGCAAACTGTAGCATCATGCTACATAAGACAATAAATAATTTTTATATTCTGCTTTTACTCAAAACTCACTTTAAACCACCATCAAGTGTTTGTAATAACTTCCGATTGCTGTCTAACAGGGCCGGATTTACTCATTGCTCAAGGCATTGAGCAAATAAATATAACAAACAATAGGGTAAAAAATGACAAACTATTTCCATGTCTTCCACGTCTTTTTAATGTAGGCTACGGAAATCACGCTTTCTTTCTCCCAGTCTCTCTCACAGACGCACACACAGTGCAGAGACGCGGAGACGCTAACAGAAACTTCTTGTCAGCGCTGCACCGCGAATTTATCAGTAAAATAGTTTCGCAGCTGAAAAGCTACATGAATTTCTCAGTAGCGAGGTTCATGAAGGAGTTTAACTTAAAGATTCGCTGTTAGCAGACGCTGCTGCTGAACGCTGCTGAGATAATGTTGCTGAAATTAAATATGTTATTACCTCTTAGTCCGAGCAGCGATCATGGAAGAGAGAACACAGGCAGACAGCGCTGGAAGCTGCTAATGCTCATCAGTAAATCAGTGGAAAATAAATAGAAATCATGATTCTGTCTGAGCTATGCGTTTTAAAACGAACACTAACTAGTGTAAATGTAGCCTAATAGATATGTAAACTGAAGACTATTTGAGCTTTATTAAAACTATTTTGCACTGATTTATTGTGTTGGTTCCATTTTGTTCCTTTGTGCAGTGGCTCAGGAGATGAGTCTTTGAGTTTGTATAAACATCAACAAGCTGAAAAATAAAACCAAACTTTTTTTGTTAGATAATGTAATCTTGTTCAAATTGATTTCATAAAATTGGTATCGGAAAAAGTATCGTTCAAGAACCGGTATCGAAGTCAAGGTATCGGTATCGATTTTCGAAAATTTTTGAATGATACCCAGCCCTATACTTGACTGCCCTCATACGAAAACAAAACTTTGAATTCCAAAATCAATGCTCATTCAGAATGATTGACTTTCAATCACTCTGTCGATGCAAATTGCCATGAGCGTGAACACCCCTTTAAAACAGAACAGTAAACGCAATAGTGATTAGCACACCAACATTAGCGTGTGAAAAACCTCTCCAGGCATGCCTCGACAAATCTGAAGAAAGACAGAGATGAAAGGAGCAAAAGATGAAGCCAAAGACAGATTAAGACTGAAAGAAAGGAATTGACGCATTTTGCTGTTTATTCAGCTATATCCTGTTTACTGTGTCAAAATGAGAAATCAGCCGTTCATGCTTGAAGTCATTTGTAAGACTGTGAATTCATTAAGAGCATTTTTCTAAAAGATCAATGACTGTACTGAGATCAAAGCCATCCAGTGAGATGGACACTTATACAGTGTATGAGCATTCAGCATACAGTAGCTGGTGCAGAGTAAATCTCTTGCCTTATTATTACATTCTCTCTCTGTCTCTGTAAGAACACTGAAGATGTGGAAACAGAATAATTAATCGTTTCATCCTCCTTCTGTCCCTTTCTTTGGTAACAGATGAAGTCAAACTACTATTCTACCAAGGCAAAATAGCACACACACATCCAAATACACTAATTTCCAAGCAACTTTTGTTTTGTTTTGATGAAATATGCAAATCAATGAGCGTGTAAGTTTTAACCAATTGATGGGAGAGCTGAAACAAATGTAAAGCATATGATTATTTCATGAGACTGATAAATAAACCATAGCGTCAGTGATTCTGATGAAATCTTCATAGCTGATGACGTCATGGCATGCGTTATATTAATGCTTGAGCTGCTGGTGAATGTGTTGCTCAAATGTTGTATTCTTGGCTGAAAAATAGCTTGATGTGTGTGTCGTTCCCCAGAGGAGATAGATTTCTTTGCTTTCTTTTTCTTAGTGAGGCAGATATAACTCTGAAAATAAAAGAAAAATGAAAATGTGTCTCTCCGTTGCATTCGTCTGTACTTTTTAGTTGAGGTAGGACACAAACAAACACAAAGCAAAAGAAAAGATATTTAAAGCTGCAGTCCGTAACTTTTTTTGGTTAAACATGATCCGAAATCAATATTTGAGCAAGTACATAACCAAGCAGTGTTCAAAACTATCGCCTTACTTTAGCCCGATTCACAACGGTTATCTTATAATAATGTTTTCTAATTTGAGTGGTACGGGTAGGTTTTCGCGGGAGATTCGAGCATGGCACTGCGTCATTACGTCACGTCTCTAAACATAAAGAAGTTGTCCCAGCTACTAGGCTATTGCATGTGAGGATCCTGCAAGTGGCCGATCGTTTATAGCCTTTTCTCACAGCAGCTGGAATAATTAAATGTATCATTTTGATGGCGGATTGTAATTCATAAAGGACTATGTGTTTATGAAACACATTATAAATATGCTTCTGATTACAGATAGCCTGGGATTACAAAAATTTGTATTTTAAAGAAAACCAGTTCGAAGGGAGCATCATTTGCTTTTTGGGTTAAAAGAATTTCTTAATATGAAATTCGAAGAGTATGACAATTAGATTAGACTGTGCAGAAATTGAAATCTACACGCTAATACACACTATACTCA